TGCTGTGAGCGTTACACGAGTAGAAAGACCAGTCTTCCTCCAGCGGAGGTGCTGGCGGTTTGCCAACCACACAGATCACAGCCCAACTCATAACCATGACACCAGCTGGGCTCCTTTCGTACAGTAGTAGAGGTCACTTAATCAGAAAGACCTGGGTAGGTTTGGAGGTTTCAAAAAGACTAGAATGAAAACTATCATTTGCAGAGGAGAAGAAGCAGGAGGTATACGAGTCATCCAGAAAGAAAAAGAGGCTAGTATTTTAAGGTGCCTTGGAAAACATAGGAACCCCTGTGGTGCAGTGGTTGAAGTCCTTGGCTGCTAACTGATCCTACTTAACCATTTTGCCGAAAAAGACATGCTGTTGTGCTTCCTTAAAGATTTACAGCCCTGGAAACGGGGGGATGGGGGGGGGGCAGTTCTACTCTGTTCTAGAGGGTCACTGAGATGGAGTTGACGTGAGCACAGTGGTTGGATTGAGGTCATAGGTGAAATCCTGGTAAGGTCTTGAATTCAGAAGGATGGTCATCCCCAATGAGGATTTAGGGCAGTGGTTCTCAGCATTTGCATTACAATTACATAGAGCTTTTAAAATACAGATGGCCAAACAGATTCTGATAATAGGTGAGCTCAGGCATCCAGTTTGGAGGTAGGTATCGTTAGAATGAAAGCTTTGTAGAAGATTCTGTGTGTGATCACATTTGAGCACACTAAGTGATTAGGAACAGAACGTAGACTGCCATTACAGACTGGCAGAATGTTAGAAAATGGAGGGCGTTAGTAAGTAGAACCCTTTCATATGTGGCTGTCTTTTCTAGGTTGAAGCTCCTCTGTGTTGCTAGTTTGTAGAACTGTGAGGCTGAGGTCTTGAAGTATTAAAGATGACAATAGTATATGAGTTTAGAGAGGTATGAAAACTGAACCAGATGTAGAAGTATAGGGAATGAGTTTCTTCTAACATAAATGCTTGGTGTATTCTTATCTTTTCAGGTCTATTTTAGATTACACATTTGTTTTCTGAGAATTATTTATATGTTGCACAAGATGTTTCATGATATTAAGCATTTCAGTCTAATGAAGCAAACAAGCTTCGCTGCCATCAAGTTGACTCCAATGCATGTTAACCCTATAGGACAGGGTAGAACTGCCCCCATGGTTTTCTGAGACTATACCATTTGATGGAAGGAGAAAGACTAATTTTTCTCCTTAGGACTGGCTGGTGGTATCAAACTGCTGAACTTGTAGATTACAGCCCAATGCGTAGCCACTACACCACAGGGCTCCTTCAGTCCAGTGAGGGACAAGCTAAGCTAAGGTTACTCAACTGATTGTAGTTGTCAGTTGTATACGTACTGCATGGGCTCATTAAAGGTACTAAGTGTGCTCTTACTTTGAAGCCCTCCCTCACCTGTTTTCTATTGTTCAAATATAAAATACAGCCATTGATTCTAGGATTCAATAATTGATGAGAGCCATAATTTGTACCAAAAAAGTAATCATAGGAAATATACAGAAATTCCTATTAGTACCTCATTTTTCTATTGTGAATTTTTATTTAACTTTATTTTTATTTAACTTTAGTGGTAAAATTAGCTTTAACTTTACCTATGTGGCACTGTGACTTAAACATTGGTCTACTAACCATAAGGTTGATTATTTAAACCCGCTAGCTGCTCTATAAGAAAGAAATGAGGCCAAAAAAACCAAGGTGAGACTGTACTCCCACAAAGACTTCCAGTCTCAGAAACTATAGGGTCGATAGGAGTCAGATGGACGCAAGTGCCAGTGGATTTGGTGTGATACGTACAATATGGCTAGATATCGTTGTCAGCAGTTTAGTGGGAACATTTTTGTGGAGATTTAACTTCTGGTTTACATAACTACCTTTTAAATTACTTTGTTCCAAACAGGAAATGATGGATGTGAAGCAATTCATTGAAAAGCTCCTGCCTCCAGTGGATTGATGCCAGTAAGAGACCTCGTGTAGGAGGTACACCAGCATCATTACAGTAGAGTAGAAACCTGTTCCTGTGCCCAACTCTGAAACTATCATGTTTGCAGTGTTGAAATGTTTGCAAATATAAGCCAGTGACAAACCAAATAATGCTTTCTTATGGGAAACGTGTCATCTTTTATGTTTCTAGATATGTACTTGTATAATATGATCCAGAATATACTAGTATTAAAATAGATGAAGCAGCAAGCTTCTTCTCAAATGTAATGCAGCAAAATAAGATAGTGAAACCAGATTTTTTTTATTACATTATTTGAAATTTGTTGGTATGCTTACTGGAAATTTGTTCACATATAAATGAACAGTTATAAATCATTTGTGCATGCTGTGACTTAAACTGTGGATTTATTTCAAAATTGCTTAGTCACCATGCAGTATCTGTATTTTTATATATGCATAATGACTAACACAGAAAAAGAATGAGATGGAATTACACTATTTCTAATAGTAGGCATAATGCTTTTTATGTGTTAATGAAAGAGTAATAGTGTTACTTTTCTCAAGTAGTGGCCCTTTTATTTTGCGGACCAGGCCTTTTTTCCTGATGTCATTTTTTAAATATTATTTTCTCCAGAAAAAAAAATGTTTTTTTCCTTTTTACCCTTCATAGTAGACCAAATATTGCCTCTCTGCCATAGACATCTGCTGTTAATGAAAGCTATAACTTGACATTATAAATTATACATATGGTATTTTAAATGAATTTGTATTTTAAGAAATAAGACATCACTTAAAATCTCTGCACTACTTATTTCTGAAACTGTACTTTAGTCCTAGTTATATTTTTTAGTTGAGGTAACAGGAATAATTGAGTAGTTATATTTTTGTGTAATCATTTGATAGAAGAATTAGGTCTATTCTGTTATATGTCCTGAAATATTTAAGACTTCAATCTTAAAAATTCTAAGTAACTTCTGAGATAATTTGGTCTAAGATGAGATTTCTTATACTATAGAGCTTACTTACTGTGTGCATATGTTTGAAACCAACTATTGTAGAAATTAGCAGTCTGTCAGAATTTACTTGAAATTTTGACATAATTCAAATGATATTTAAAATTTTGTTTTTGTGCAAACAAAAAATTTAAGCATTTGACATTAGTCAAAAATTTCAGCTTACAGATAATTGAAAAGCAAATTTATAGATATTAAAAGTTGGTTAAAACCCTATGCAAATGGTGTACTTACTAGACAGTAATTGGCAAAAATGTACGGTTTGTATGTTTGAACTGTTACTTTTTTGTTGTTGTATTGCAGCTGATCAAAACAGTATTAGAAGTGCATCTTTGTAAATGGGTGCTAATTATTCATAGAAATAATTTAGTAATGTACTATGTAGAATGTTAATAATGAAGCCATATGTTTATATCTGAATTTTAAGATCTTAAACAATCATTTGCTAAGTCATTTTCCTTTAAGAAATATAAACTTGTTTTAGTTATACAAATTAGCAAATTTTTATTTATTTCATTGAAATATTTTGCTGTAATGTGGGAAAATGTAAATCTTTTTCATGATTTCTATCAATGTGAAATAAAATTTAATTCTCACACTTCTGTTTTCAAGTATTTTCTTATTTGAGTTTACTTTGACGTGGATACCTGTAACGCAAAGGAGGAAAATAATAGCATATCCAGAAGAATATACATTACAGTTTATAAACAGGGCATCGTTCAATTTCCATTTATTTCATTTTTTTCTTTGATCTTTTTGTTTATTTTATAGCATTTGTTCTGAGAAGATGGTTTGTAGTATTAGTGTTTTTTGTAAGCCTTGCTTTGTGGCCTAACAGGTGGTCTGTTCTGAAGAATCATGTGTACAGAAGAGTGACTATTTTGTTGTTGCATAGAGTGTTCTGTGCATGTTTAAGAGGTCATGCTTATTAAGTATGGTGTTTACTTCTATGTTTTTATTGAAGGAGCCCTTGTGGTGTAGTGGTTACTTTGGCTGCTAACCACAAGGTCAGCAGTTCAAAACCACCAGCTGCTCTGAGGGGGGCGGGAAGATGAGGCTTTCTACTCCCATAAAAAGTTAGTCTTGAAAACCCTCAGGTGCTGTTCCACCCCGACCTAAAGGGTTGCCGTAAGTCCAAACCCATTGATTAGATGGTAGTGAGGCTTGCTTTTGTCTTTGTGGAGTTCCTTTCTACTTGTGTCCTCCCTTGGGAATGGTGTACTGAAGCCCTATAATAGTATTTTTCCCCTAATAGTATTTTTTCCATGTTGTCTATTTCTCTCTTTAAATCTATAAGGATTTGATGAAAGTTTTTTGAAAATCTTTCATTGGATGCATAGCTACTTGTTATGCATATGTCTTCTTGTTCAGGTGTCCCTTTTATCATTATGTAATGCCCTTCATTGAATCTAAAGGTAGATTTTGCCTTGAAGTCCATTGTATTAGAAATTAATAATTCCATTTATTTTTATTATGGTCATTACTAGCTTGATTTTTATTCTCCATCCTTTGATTTTTAGTCTTTTTGTTTGTGTTTAAGAAGTATTTCTTGTAAGCAGCATATTGATAGATCCTGTTATTCATTCTGCTACTGTCTCTTGACTGACTCTTTTAATGCATTTTCAGTCTTGTCAGTTTGGTTTACTTTGTTCCTTATTATTGCTTCCCCATGTGTCAGTGTTTGCTGCTGCTGTTGAATCTGTCCAAAGAACTCCCCTAAGTATTTTTTATAAGGTTGGTCTTGTTTTTACAAAATCCTTCATTTCTCCCTATCTGAAAATACCTTTATTTATCCCTCATATTTGATGGACAATTTCACTAGATTCAAGATTTTTGGTTGGCGGTTCTATTTTTATTTCAAGATTTTATGTATGCTATACCATTGACTCCTTGTTGCTTCGTTTCTGTTGAAAAGTCTGAGCTCCGTTTTATTGGCTCCCCTCTGTAGAGGGAGCTTTTTATCTAATTGTGCTCTCAGATTTTTCTCCGTGTCTTTGATTTTGGAAAGTCTGCCCTGGTCTTCGTGATTTTCTGGGGGAGCTATCCTGATTGGGCTTCTTTCAGCTGCTTGATGGCTAGTTTCTCTTTCATGATGGTAGGGAAGTTTTTTTCAGCAAGCCTCAGACAACTACTTTTCTCTGTGCTTTGTTTTGTTTATGCCTATTCTGGAATAATTATCTTATATAGTAATCCCCTTAATCGTATCCTTCATACTTCTTAGGCTTTCTTTGGATTTTTCTTTTTAAAAAATCATTTTACGGATGGTTCTTTTCATGGTGTGGTGTTGAGAATTGTCTTCAAGCTCACTGATTCGGCATGGCATTTCTTCTAGTCTACTGCTTTGCTCTTTCAATGTATTATATATTTAATCTTCTACTTTGTGTCTCTTGTGTTTTCAGTAAAACGTAAAACATTTGTGTTTAATATTTATCTTCCGTTTTGTGTCTGTTTTGTTTTTGTGTGGTTTCTAATATTTTGTCAATTTGCTCAGATAGTGTTTGCCTGAATTATTTTTTTCCTTAACTATGTCAGTCTTTTTCTATCTGTTGGACATATGTAAGAATCATTCATCTGAATTTCTTTTTGGTAATTCTAATTCTCTAATCTTAGGGAGTTCTTTTGACTCCATATGTTAGTCACTTTTTTTGTGTGATTCTGCCTCTTTCTCTGTATGCTCTATTGTTTCTTAGACATTTTGGCGTTTTTAAATGCATGTGTATTTGATGCTAAGGTAGTACTGGAGTTGGTCCGTATCCACTAGGTGCTGCTGTTGGAAGTGCCGGGGTGGCTAGCTTGTGTGGGGACCGTTGTCTCCACCAGGTGGAGCACGATAGGAATTATTTAAATATGTAATAACAATAATAATAAACAAACAAACAGACTTCAGCCCAGAGCTAGCAGCCGAAAACGAGTAAAGGCAAAAGGGAAGGAAGGGAAAAAATTCCCAAGCCAGTCCTGCGAATAATCTCAAAGTACTGCCAATATCCATCAATGCTACGTGTCTAGCATTCAGCACAGCCCCAGCACACAGACATGTAGTAGGTCTCATCTGCTAGCGCTGTGCTGTTGTATAAAAAGAAAAGCTCTAATCTTGGCCAGCTCCGTGCTATTGGTAATGATAAGGAGGGCTGGAATGTATAGGTCCCTCCCTGCCAGCCTCATCTACTGTGGTGGAATATGTTACGAACAATGTCATCCATACTTGGACCTGTGAAAAAGAATAAAAAGTCACTCATCACTTGGGCAGGAATTAGCTGTGAGAATGTACAAATTCAATGAGCAAATCTCCATACTGTTTTTTTCTTGTTATTGTATTCAATTCTATCACGAACATTTTACATACAACCATTTCAAAGTGTCGATCATCCCTTTGGTTGAAAAATGAATATATTTGTGCTAGAAAAAAAGAAAAGGCAAGGACACCAATTTGACAATAATCTCAATATGTAACACAAGGGGTCGTAGTAGTGAAGGCAATAGCCGTGAGGGGGCCTAAGAGAGGAATTAACCATCTCAAAAGATAGAAAAATCTCCACATGTCCTCTTGCTTGCTGTTGCAAGAAATGCATGGTTCTTGAGTTTCTGTAGAACACCTTGGACTACTGATTGGTTGGGATAGAAACAGCATTCTTCATGGAGGGCAATGTAGTATCCCCCACGGTCAGCTGCAAGACCCCAGCTGCTAGGCAATCAATCTGGTTTTGAAGTATCTGTAGCCCCTGAGTCATTGTGATAGTTACATAATCTGTGATAGTTAAAATTTGGGACTTTAGTGGATTAAGAGTGAAGGGGTGGAGTCTAGACTGTCAAACGGATCATAGCCAATGAGACCGCTGTGTGGGCATGGCTTTCTCCTGATTTCTGGGAAATCGGTTTTCCTCTGCTCACTCCTTGTGAGACATTTCTCAGGAGAAGCCACACGAAGCTACCCTGAGGCAGTCTGAGTTTCGAAGCTGAAGGAACCACGTGGAGACCCCTGCCGGTGCTGAGATGCTTATAACGCCAATGGATCCTGAAGACTTCCAACCCACTGGCCTCTGATCTTCCTGCGTTTGACATCATTGCATGCGTTTCGTGAGTCAGAAGGCTTTGTAGATTGTTATCGGACAGATGGGCTAATAGCAGACCTACGGACTTGATCTGGACTGGGCCGTTTTCTCCAGATTCAACTGCTCTTGTATATAAAATTCGTTCTTATACATATATGAGGTTCCATGGATTTGTTTCTCTAGTCTACCCAGACTAACCCAGTGATTGCATTGGAATTATAGGCCAATGTCTAGGAAAGTGTCTGAAACACTCAGGGACATGCCTAGCCCTCCAGCGCCGAGTCCTGTGCTGGTTACTAAGCTGAGTGCCACAAAGAATTGTGCCAAGTGAACAGCCCTCTTTGAGAATTGTGGGTTGCAGGAAAGGTAATAACTACCGGGATGGAAATTTCAGTATCTGTGGGGATCTAGAAATGTCAAGAATTTGGAACACTAGGGTGACGGTGCCTATCCAGCTGATTGGAAAGTACAATTAGGTACTGGATCCACATAGAAAATCCCCTCTCTATTGAGGCAGATGCTGAAATCAAATGCAGACCACCAAACCACTTCCCAAATCTGAAAGGATGTTGCTGGCAACAGTTGGATGGGCCCCCTAGGGTTGGGATGTGGACCACCCAGTGGTATTCTACACATGCATCAGCAATTCTTTGGTATCTATCCAGACTCTAGAGCATTGGTTCTCAACCTTCCTAATGCTGCGACTGTTAATACAGTTCCTCATGTTGTGGTGACCCCCAACCAAACAATTATTTTCGTTGCTAATTCATAACTGTAATTTTGCAACTGTTATGAATCGTAATGTAAATATCTGATATGCAGGATGTATTTTCATTGTTACAAATTGAACATAAACTGATTAATCACAAAAACTATATAATTATATGTTGTGAAATATTTATTTCTAATTACAAATAGATGAAATTTTGTCTTGAAGCATGGTGTAGCATGGCTAACAGTCTTCACCCCAAGTCCTTGTCTGTGCGCATATCTGCATGTGAGTGGACCCGCCTGGAGATGGATAGAGGAGCGGTGTCTCTGTTCCTAAGGCCATCAGAAATAATGTGTTTTCCAGTGGTCTTAGGCGGTCCCTGTGAAAAGGTCGTTTGACAGCCCCCCCAAGGGGTCGTGACCCACAGGTTGAGAACCACTGCTCTAGAGGAAAATTAACTGTGGGATCAGCAGACACTGATATTTCAGAGTATTCTTGGTATACTCAGTCCATGGGAAAATCGAGAGGCATGAGTTCTACCCTGTGGGAGGAAGACTCCAACAGAACCCAAAGTGTTTGTTCAAAAGTCCCTGGGTAGAGATAGACAGAGGCCCTGTATACTAGAGGGTATGATCAATTGATTTCTATGCTCCTTCCACCTGTGCCAAAACCCTGAGGAATAATTATCATGGTGGTTTCTTGCTTGTCCCTGTGGCCACTGGGGAGGTTTAATGTTACAGTGAAGTTACATAGAGCCACAGGGACGGTGCCCACATTAATACCTGAAAACCCTGTTCTGGCAAAGCAAACAGCCTATGCTGCTAAAAGTACAATATC